TTTTTTTTTTGTTCCTCTTCCCTGAAAGCTCAAACAATTTACCTGCTGTATTTTTATTCGGGAATTACTAAATAACAAAACCCAGACTGTATGTTTAGAAGTTTGATAGCACCTGCCTGTGTATAATGACCAATGAAGAGAATTATGTGATATCAGCTTCCTTTTTTCTGATCAACCAAAAAATTTCCTTCAAGTCTGTCTCAAATGTAACAAAATTGTGAACTGTTATAGTGTTGAATTTCCAAAAAATGATGAAAAAGTAAAAGTTGAAGACTGGCTTCAGTTACGTTCCTTATTTACTTTTGCCGCTGAAGGAGATCCACTAGCACTGCTTGCTCCAATGGCAGCTCTCCTGTCCGCTACCGACAACGATGGTTGCAAGTAGGTTTATTCTGTGTAAATAGTCTTACTTTACATTACTCATCAATTACCTTAAAAAAGAATATGTCCATCATGATTTACCACTCAAATATTTGACTGATACTGCATTTCATCAAAAAGTGCTAAATTTATGCTGCTTTTCCATGTAACACTAATGCTATAAATTATTTTTCTTGTTTTTTTAAGAAAAAAATTTCAGTCTTTTTTTTTTTAATTATCCCATAATTTTTTCCATTCCTTTGTTTATCAATCCTTTGAAAACCTAATTTAATTTATTTCATTCATTTAAATTTTAGTTTTTATAAACAACAACACCTGAAACTGAAACTTCTGAAATATCTTCATTACCGCCGCCAAAAATTATGGCATCTAATAATTCCGAAGGCTGTGACTTTAGTCTTGGTGAATTCAAATTGAAAGCAACATAGTCAAACTGTTTTCCAACTTCAAACTGTCCCACAATATCTTGAAGACCCAAAGAACGCGCTCCATTTATCGTCGCTATTTCCAATAACTTTTTTGCATTAAGTCCAAAAACACTTCTGCAGTTGCGCTTTGTCTGAAAAAATGTTAACATCAGTTAAAATACAGATTGTCTTATTTGAACAACTTTAGATTTCTAAATAACATGATCGGAATCTCTATGTTAGCGTCTAATTGATCAATTAAGAAAGACCGTATAAAAAGTAAACAGCAAAGAGATGCTACTCATAAAAATTAGCTTAAAAACATATTGACTCACATGTTGGCTGTAAGTCAATGATCTCAATTCTTCAAGTATTGATATCCGGTTATTACAGTCAGTTCCTATGCAAATTCTACTTTCCTCCACTATTTCCGGAATTCCATCACCAAGAAAACCTAAAATATATATTACATTCTTTTCTTCATATTTTAAAAAACTCGTAGAACTTTCTTTTTTTTTTTCACTACCTCTGAATTTTTCTTTTTTCAATCAATAATTTAACCGGGCATCAATTAGAAACAATATAAATCATGTAAATCCAAAGTGAATATAACTAACGCTCAAAACTAACCTTCAGTAAGAGGACAGATGCAAACATTGATCGAGGCATTTCCAAGCGAGATCATATTTCTTTGTGAAGTAAAAGAGCAGTGAACAGCAGTTATGTTTGCACCAAAAGGTGCTAGATGAGATAGGATTAAATCACTAGGTGTTTTCCCCGTAAAAGCTAAACAGTCTTTAATTTCTTGGGGTTGTTCCTCAACGTGTATATGTATAGGCTTATGAGCTTCTGCACTCCACTTTGTCAGTTTTTTACAGTCTTCAAGAGATACAGCACGTAGTGAATGGGCTGCAAATAGATATGAGTTAAGAAGCACCAGTGTGTTTCTAGAATCAGGAACTGATCACGAAAAGAAAAATACATAAAAATTATAATAACTGTAATTTTGTGATATTTCATTCTCCTTTATAGCTTTTATCGTACTATGCCATTATACCTCAGATCTTGCACGTTCATACTCCATTACCCACATTTGTTTAAGTC